CAAGATTTACTAATTTAGTTCACTTCATTGATTGTCAAGCTAAAGTGGCCATGGACCCTCTCTTTGGTGACATACTGGACCATCGCAATGTTGTAGCAGCAAAGGTGCATCAGAAAGAGAAGTATCCTACTAAAAAAGGAATAATAAAGAGCAGCTTTGCAACCAACATTTGCATGGAGGAAAGAAGTCCTCAAATTGTGTTAAGGAAACAGGTCAGTCCCCCCCAAGAGCCTCAGTGCCTTTGAAAAACCATGTATGTTTTGTACAAAGGATCATGCTCTAGAGTCATGTAGTGAAATAAAAGAGCAGCCACATAAGGTACGTGTGGAGTTCCTGAAGTCTAAAGGCTTATGTTTTGGATGCTTAACTCAAGGCCATCTTAGCAAGACTTGCAAAAAGAGAATGGAATGTAAAGAATGTTCCCAAAAACACAGACATTCTACACATTAAGGAGAACCAAAAAGGTACAAAATATGTTTAAACAAAAGACCAGAAGATCTCATGTGCCCAAGTCTCCCTTAACCACCAATCAAGTGAGAACACAGCGTCTGGAGGAGATTACTGTGTGCTATCAATAGTGCCAGTAAAAGTCAAGTCGAATAAGAATGACAGATATGTAGAATATGCTTTCCTGGATGCAGGAAGTACAGCTACATTTTGTACGGGGGAACTGCAAAGGAAACTGAACCTGAAAGGGAAGCCAACTCAAATTCTACTAAGCACTATGTGTCAAAATAAGCCAGGAGAGCAGAAGTTAGTAAACAGTTTCATCCTCACAGACTTGGAAGTGTGTGCACTGGAAGACACAAAGTATTATGAGCTACCTAAAGTCTTCACACACAGCAGTATCCCTGTTCAAAACGAGAACATTCCCAAACAAGAACACACAAAAAATTGGCCATACTTAAGCGAAGCAAGCATACCTAGTATTGATGCAAATGTAGACCTTCTGATTGGAGCCAACAATTCAAAGGCAATGAAGCCATGCTACATCATAAACAGCCAACAGGGTGGACCTTATGCTGTGAAAACTGCACTGGGATGGGTGGTGAATGGACCCATGAAGAAAGAAAGCAACACTGCAGAAAAGTCCAAATTGTTCCCCCAGAACAGCTTGTTCGCAACGACAACAGAGTCTGGTACATACCACACCACGGGGTGTACCACCCAAAGAAAAACAAAATAAGAGTGGTTTTTGATTGTATTGCTTCGTTTCAAGGCATGTCTCTGAACAGCCAATTGCTACAAGGTCCTGACTTCACAAACACACTCATTGTTGTCCTTACTAGATTTAGGGAAGAACCAATAGCCATGATGGCAGATGTGGAGTCGATGTTCTAGCAGGTGAGGGTTCCTGAGTAGGACGCAGATCTGCTTCGTTTTCTTTGGTGGCCAGAGGGGAATTTGAATGCACCTATAGAAGAATTTAGGATGATGGTGCACTTATTCGGAGCCGCTTCGTCACCAAGCTGCGCCTCTTATGCACTGAAAAGGACTGCAGAGGACAGAAAAGAAGTAGCATCTCCAAAGGCTGTTGAAACAGTTATGCACAATTTTTACGTGGATGACCGCTTGAAATCTGTATCTACAGAACAAGAAGCTATTGACTTAGTGAAAGTGAAGTGACATGTGGCCAAGTATGGTGACCCATACTCGGAATTAGTGTTCTGCATTTATCCCATCCAAAGTGCGCACACACAGCAGTTAACACGCACACACACACACCGTGAACACACAACCCTTAACAAGTGATGTTCGGAAGTTGTGTGCTGAAGGAGGTTTCTGCTTAACCAAGTGGGTAAGCAATAGTAGGAAAGTACTATTTTTCATTCCAGAAGAACAAAGGGCCAGTGGAGTAAAGGACCTTGACTAGCAAGCAATAGAAGGAAAGTACTATTTTCCATTCCAGAAGAACAAAGGGCCAGTGGAATAAAGGACCTTGACTTGAATCAGGATTCTATGCTGATCGAGAGAGCACTCGGCATGCAGTGGTGTACAGAAAATGACACCTTCACATATAACATCAAGGTACAGGAGAAGCCATTGAGTAGGAGAGGTATTCTCTCGGTTGTTAATTCAATTTATGACCCTCTTGGTTTTCTGGTGCCACTCATCCTACCAGTCAAGCTCCTTCTGAGGGATATGTGCAAGCAAGGATATGGATGGGATGAAGAGATTGAGGGCAAGCGAGCTGATCAGTGGGTCAGATGGCTAGAAGATCTAAATCACCTCTCAGACTTTCAGATCAAAAGGTGCGTAAAACCAGAGAAGTTTGGTAACACAAGAGAAGCGCAACTGCATAATGACTCTGATGCCAGCGAGAGTGCGTATGGCACAGCAACTTATCTGGTACTTACAAATGAACAAAATCAGAAACATTGTTCCTTGTTGATGAGAAAGTCAAGAGCTAGCCCACTCAAACAAATCACAATCCCTAGACTTGAGCTGACAGTGGCAACCATAGCCGTCAAAGTAGACAAAATACTAAGACAAGAGCTTCAAATTCCACTACAGCAGTCGGTTTTCTGGACGGACAGCACTACAGTGCTCAGCCACATTGGCAATGAGAGTGCACGCTTCAAAACATTTGTAGCAAAGAGGATCTCACTCATACGAGATGTTACTACTCCGTTACAATGGAGGTTTGTCAAGACATCACAAAACCCTGCAGATCAAGCTACCAGAGGTCTTAAAACAAAGGACTTTGTTCAAGTAGAAACTTAGATTAAAGGACCTGACTTTTTGTAGGAAGAATGGCCACAAAGCCGAGATCAAATGACTCAAGATGCACAACAAGACCCTGAAATCAAAGGTGAAATCGAAGTCAATGTTCTCAAAAATAAAGAAAGCAAGGACATTGTAAGCAAGCTAACTGATTACCACTCAAGCTGGGTTCGTCTAAAAAAGGCAGTGGCATGGATAAGACTCAAAGAAACACTTTTACAATTATGTAAAGCAAGAAGACAGTTCCAAGAGTCCATTACACAATCAGAGAAAGACCCAGAAAAACAAGCATCCCTTCTACAGGAGCAAATGCAAAAATACAGATCAACAATGGAGAAAAAGTAATTGAGCCTGGAAAACCTGAATCAAGCAGAAATTCAGCTCATTCAATTCAGTCAAAAACAACAATTTCAGAATGAAATTGAGGCTCTGAGAAAGAATATTCCCGTTAAGAAAAGAAGTCAGCTGTTCAAGCTTGACCCTGTACTTCAGGATGGGATACTAAGAGTGGGAGGTAGGCTCAAAAGAGCAGCCATGCCAGAGGAATCCAGACATCCTGCAATCCTCTCAAAATGCTCCAGGATTTCAACTCCCATTCTAAATGATATTCATCAAAGATGTGGACACTGTGGTCGAAACTACATGCTATCTACACTCCGACAAAAAATTCTGGATCCCCCAAGCCAACTCAGCAATTCGAAAACTTATCCATAAATGTGCAGTTTGTCGCAGACTTAATGGAAGAGTTGATGAGCAAAAAATGGCAAGCTTGCCAGAAGACCGCTTGCTACCTGATAAACCCCCTTTCACGAATGTGGGCGTAGATTACTTTGGACCCTTCGACGTAAAACAGGGCCGGAGTACCACAAAAAGGTATGGAGTGTTGTTCACTTGCTTAACAATCAGAGCAGTACACATTGAGAGAGCTGATAGTTTGAACTCTGATTCATGCATAAACGCTTTTAGGCGTTTTATAAGTAGAAGAGGACAGGTGTCAGTCATGCGCTCAGACAATGGCACAAATTTTGTCGGCGCAGAAAGAGAATTGCGAGAAGCACTGAGAAACCTGGACCATAACAAAATTGAAAACGCCATGCTACAGAAAGGGATTAAATGGATCTTCAACAGTCCAGCTGCTTCTCATCAAGGTGGGGTTTGGGAGCGTCAAATCCGTACTGTAAGAAAGATACTCTGCGCTCTCTTAAAGGAACAGACTATTAATGATGACAGTCTTCATACCATCATGTGTTAGGTGGAAAGCATCATCAACAACAGACCAATAACTAGTACCTCAGAAGATCCAAATGACCTTGAGCCTCTGACGCCTAACCATTTACTGTTGTTGAAAACTCAACCCAGCTTACCACCAGGTGTCTTTAATAAGGAGGACCAATATGTGTGAAAACGTTAGAGACAAGTCCAATATCTCGCTGATTTGTTTTGGAGCAGATGGACTCATGAGTACCTGCCCATTCTTCAGGAACGCAGTAAATGGTCAAGATTAAAAAGGAACTTTTTAGAGGCAATTTAAGCATGAAGACTAATAAAGAACTTTCAAGAGTAAAGATAACCAAAGAAAAATGTGGAAGAACCAAGTAGCTATTTCTTATTCATAAATGTTCAATTTTAATGGCTCTTAGTATTAATGTCTATAATAATTGTTTGGTCTCCTGCCCAACCAATTAGGGGGCCGGATGTGTAAGAGCCATATGTTATTTGTTTATATAGATGTGGAATAAATAAATAATTGTGTGTGTTAAGCAATTGTAAAATAATTATAAAAGTAAATAATTTAATATGTGTATTATATTTCATATTGACAATGTTGTCATTTTCGGCAAGGACCGTTAGTTTTTTGTGATGCAATATTGGAGCGAAACAGTTTTTTGACCGTGTAACATTTTTTCCAGTTAATTTTGTTATTAAATTTTACCTAAAGAAAGTTTCTGGACTACGGAATGTTATTAGAGTTCAAATCACGCACACACATGAAGCAAGAAAGATGAAAATTTAAACGGATTGCTATCACATATTTAATAGTTCTCCCAATACAAACATGGGATTTGTGCCTATAATGTTTTTAAAATAATGATTTGAAGAGCAATGTACCTCATTCATGGAAAGTTTAGTTTAGTTTATAACAATGCATTAAAAAGACAAAAATTCTGTAATGGAATTGTCTACTTTATACTGTTACATCAGGGTTCACTTTTATATCCACATTTCTTTGCTTTTTACAAGTGACTGTAAATGAAATGTTTTTACTTTTATTTCAGAGCTGATTGAAGAAAATACGGAGAATGAAAAACTGAGTGAAGTTGAGGAGAAAAATCATGTCAAAACTGGAGAACATTTTGTGAGTTGCTCTCAAACCAAACAGAAAGATTTAAAGAAAAGAAGAGCCAAGAAATCTTTCACCTGCACTCAGTGTGCAAAGAGTTTGACCAGCAAACATAGTTTTAATGTTCACATGAGAGTTCATACTGGAGAGAAACCATACAAGTGTTTACACTGTGACAAGAGATTAATTCATTCAGGACATCTGAAAACACATGAGAGGATCCACTATGGAGAAAAACCGTACACGTGTGATCAGTGCGGGAAGAGTTTTGCACTAAAAGGAAACCTTACAGCACATATGAGAGTTCATACTGGAAAGAAACCGTTCACATGTGATCAGTGCGGGATGAGTTTTGCACAATCATCAAACCTTAAAGGACACATGAACATCCACACGGCAGAGAAACCGTATGCATGTGATCAGTGCGGCAAAACATTTTTGAGGGCACCATACCTAAAGAATCACCTGAGAGTTCATTCAAAGGAGAAACCACATTCATGTTATTTGTGTGGAAAGAGTTTTTCATGTCTAGAACATTTAAAAGAACATCAGAAAATACACACTGGTGTGAGAGAGTACATGTGCTTTGAGTGTGAAAAGACTTTTATTTCAGCAAAGTGTTTAAAAAGGCATAAGAGGATTCACACTGGAGAGAAACCTTACAAGTGTTCACACTGTGACAAGAGATTCAGTCAGTCAGAATATCTGAAAATACATGAGAGGATCCACACTGGAGAGAAGCCACATGCATGTGATCATTGTGGGAAGAGCTTCAGACTAAAAGGGACCCTTAACGATCACGTGAAAATCCACACCGGAGAGAAGCCGCACACATGTGCTCAGTGTGGGAAGAGTTTTACACAAAAAGGAAACCTTAACAAACACGTGAAAATCCACACTGGAGAAAAGCCGTACTCATGTGATCAGTGCGGAAAGAGTTTCAGAATATCAAGTGTTTTTAAAGTTCATCTGCGTACTCATTCTAGAAAAAGACAATATAACTGTGACCATTGTGGTAAACGTTTTTTTACGGCAAGTGCCCTGAAGAAGCACCTGAAAATTCATACAAAGGAAAAGCCTCATGCGTGTTCTTTGTGTGGAAAGTGTTTTAGCCAATTTGCTGCTTTAAAATATCACCAGAAAAGACACAGCGGTGTGAAGGATCATGCTTGCTCTGAGTGTGGGAAGACTTTTTTTACATATGGTGCACTGAAAGTGCACAAGACCGTTCACACTACAGAAACACCTTACAAGTGTTCACACTGTGACAAGAGATTCAGTCGGTCAGGAATCCTGAAATCTCATGAGAGGATCCACACTGGAGAGAAACCGTATCACTGCACTGCATGTGGGAAGTGTTTCAATCGTTCATCTTCTCTACACAGTCATATAAAAAGCATTCACAGTAAGTAGATCATCTTCAGATCAGCACTTTCAGGTCTGATGCTGCGTCCTCACCAAATGAGACACAATAATGCATCAAACAATAACATATCATCTGGATAAATCTGTCCTAACCAGACATTACAAGTGACATGATAAAGTAACATTATCTAAAGTTTCACAGTGAATAAAGTTCATCTTCAAAACCAGCAGATTCAACTGTGATATTCAGCTCAACTCAAAGATGGAGTTCCTCCCCAAAGAACAATGTCAGAAAAGTGTATTCTTGTGTATAATTTTTCTTCATTATATAAATGATATAATTGTTTTCTTATGAGTTTCAGAGCCCGACCGATATATTGTTTTGCTGATATGAGCTTGTCGCCGATATATCTGTATCAGCCAATATGACGCCGATATGACAACGATATGAACATTTTTTTTTTACAGAACATATAACGCAGATAAAATGCTTGAAATGGTGTAATTACTTAGTTTGTCCAGCAGAGCGCGCTTTGACGTCATTCTACCTTCATATGAAACGCTTTAAAACTTAAGTCTATGGAAAACCATTGAAACTTTGAACGGCCATATCTCCGTAAGGGCGCGGCGAATCCGCACCAAATTCGGGGGGTCCCTTCAGCTCGAGGAATCCTCTCGAACGCGAATGGAATGTACGTCTAGAGGCCCGCTTTCGAATGAGACCACCTCCGCGTGGATAGCCCCCGGGGTTCGGGAGTTACGGGTGGTTAAATTTGCGGTCCGGCGCCAACCGATCAAGCGATCCCGGGGGGCTACCAACGCGTGGAGGGTGGCGTTCGAGAAGGCTTCTTGAGCTGAAGGGATCCCCCTGAATTTGGTGGAGATCCGCCGGCGCGTTCGCGAGATAGTGACACCAGTCAACACTTTC